TTTTATATTTTTCAATATATTTATTTTGTTTGTACAAAATAAAAAAATAATTTTTAACGATACAATAGTCTTCGTTAGGCTTAACATCGACGAAAATTCAACGCGAAGCGACACGCAACGGAGAAAAATTTCAACATGAGATAAATTAATATATTTATTCGTACATGATTCGTTATCCGAAAAATAAGTTATCCGAACCATCCCAGTCCCCAACTGATTCGGATAAACGACGCTCTACTGTAATTACTTTGTAATTTGCCAGGTGGCAGGCTGCAAAATTGCCATTTCGTGTTAAATATAATAGGCGGCCCGGAGTCGTATCTCCGACAAAATTGCTTAGTAATTATTTAACATTAATAGCTCGATAAACGAATTCAGCTTTTTGTTTAATATTTAAAAGAATTATCGAATTATTTGTATTTATTATAAAAAGCCATATATTTGAGTCATTAAAAGTGTAATATTTATGTGTCTTGCAATACACCTCGTACTGTCAACTTGAAACTTTTATACCGAATTTATTTTTATAAATTTCAGTTGCAGATATGGAAAAGTTAAGTATTATTTTAAAAACAATTAAGCTTACTTATACTAAATTTTTTGTATTATATTCTGTTATTGTTATGAATTTAATTCAGTTGTATATTTTATTATAATGCCGAATTTATATATTATATGTGTTAATTTATGAATCCATATTCTACGAGTCCTTAAATACATGTGCCAATCACAGCCTGGCACGTAAGCAGTTTACAGACTACGGCTGTTTGAAAGGTTTTCTTTCATAAAATTAATCGATTCAAGACTAATTTTTTGGGAATAATCCTTATAAACAAAAATTGTAGGATTACTTACCGAGTGTGCACCGTTCGACGACGCCATTGCTTAAGCTTGTTTTTGTCTTGGAGCTTGTCATCGAATGGCAGTCGCGTGCTTCCTGATAAATTATTTTTTTTGCGAAAAATTCGCTGAACTTTGGAGACATCATTAATATAAATATGATTTTTATGGCGGTTAAATAATAAATGGTTTTTAGTAGGTCCGCTACTAGTTTAAACTCATCGGTTTGCACAATATCCACTATTGGTCTAGATTCGACCAATCCTGTCGCGACACGAGTTGGCGATGACGTTTTACCGAATTATACGAGTTTTTTTAGCGTGTTTGTACGATTTTTTTGCCGTCATATAGGAATACGAACTATATGAACTTGTTTTATAGGGGGTCTACTGTATTTAAACTTATCCAGCCGATTGCAGAGACAGAGTTTACGTTAAACGACGTTTATCAACAGAACTGAGTATAGACGTTGGCTGGCTGAACCGCGGTTTAAAATATGTCGCAAAGACGATGATCGTCTATTTCTGACCGTTCTCTAAACGTACTTTGACGAAACATTGGCTCTTACTTACTTCGCTATTACTGCCCTGTTTTAGGAGTCGTTCGGCAAATCGGGTTATTTGTTTGTGACATCAGAAATGGTTACCAGCTTTATTCCTAAAGCTTCCAGAAATAAAATCTTAAGGTCGTCAGAACCATTGTTCGGCAATTAATGACAATCCTTTTCCATTTCGTCGCCAATACGGTTTAAAATATGAACAAATCCATATTTAGAAAATTTANAACTAAAACAAGTAATAAATTTTATTATTCAAAATGATAAATACATAATTTTTCTTCCAATAGATATAGCTTTCGTGTGGCATGCCCTATGGATTTACATCGTTATCCCCTTGATATTCAAGACTGCGTATTTAAAATTGGTTTGTGTAAGTAAATTTAATAATTGATTTAACGTGTATTTACTATGAATCATGATAATGGGGTCTAATAAAAATGTAATAAATTATATAAAGGCCGGCCACAGATATTTTAAAATATACGGAGAAAGCCATATATCATACAAACAGTCCTATTCCTTTATTTTCTATTAAAGCTAAATAATTGCTATGTAATTTGGCAGGTGGCAGGCTGCAAAATTGCTATCTGTTATTAAATATAATAGACCGTCCTGAGTCATACCTCGTACCAAATTGCTTAGTATTTATTTATCATTAATAGCCCAAAAAACGAATTCAGCTTTCCGTTTGAAAGAATTATCGAGTTATTTGTATTTATTATAGAAAGTCATATATTTGAGTAATTAAGAGTGTAAAATTTTTCTTGCAGTAAACTATTTTTTAGTTGAATAAGTACAACAATGTATTTATAGTATAAAATTTTACTTTAAAACTTTATATTTGTGTTCTATATTGAAGGTATTCCCGCTCTATTATGCAATTTTTTAGTAAAAAATACAGCAGAAAAGGTACGCCTGGAATGGTGTGATGTTGACAGTAGTCCATGTAAGTACTTGGGACCAAGTATTGCACTAATGGAAGACATACAGCCATTGAAACACGAGATGAAGGTACCCAAACCTCGTAGCAAAATCGAAGTTTGGACGACTGGAAAGTTTTCTTACAAATTACTTATAAAACTGTATTATTATTAGTTTTATAGAGATAATTCTTTTTGTTTACAGGTAATTACAGTTATGTGTATGCGAAATTTACTTTCATTCGGCGTTTAACGGGTAGTATACTCAATGTTTACTTGCCAAGTACTGTAGTAGTAACCCTGTCCTGGCTATCATTCTGGTTAGATGTGAATGCAGTTCCCGCTCGTGTTACGCTCGGGGTTACCTCACTTCTTACCATCATCACTCAAATGCTGCAGTCTAGATCGTACACTCCGCCAGTGGACTATGTAAAAGCTGTGGATATTTGGCTGCTCGCTTGTATGTTTTTCATCACAGCTTCGTTGATAGAATACGCATTTGCTCACCAATATGTGGAATTTAAAGAAAAAGTAAGTTGAAATGTATTTGTTATTTTCGAGATATATCAAAATGATTATGGAATTGGGCACAAATTACTGACAGTAGTGTAGAAATTCCAGGCTAATGTATATCCTCATTGAACCCTACTACTTCTTTAATTTCGTCTTTTGCCATGTTTATATGGTGGGGTCGGCGTTTCCTTCTCCAGTATGTTTTTTCCATTTCTCCCAATCGAGGGCTTCTTCTCTCTTATGTTTCCTCTGGTTCAAGTGTTCTTCCACCTTATTATTCCAACGCATCTTTTGTCTTCCTTCGTCTTTTCTCTTTCCTTTTACTACAACATTGAGCGTCTTTCTAACATAATTGTCGCTTCTTCGCTCTACACGGCCAATTTACCTCAACCCACATTCTTGCATCTTTTTTCACCTTAACGTTCTGTTAAGAACATCTAAAAAAATCATTCCTTATTATATCCTCCCTTCACATTCCACACATCCATCTCAACATTTTCACCTCTGCCACTTCTATTTTTCTTTCTTGGGCTCTTGTTATTGCCCATACATGCTTCACACCGTTCAGCTTCCTCCAGTTCATCAATCCACATTGAATTCTATGCTGCACTTCCGAGTTCAATCTTTCTCCCATCTCGACAAATGACCCAAGATATTTAAAATTCGGTACCAAAAGGAGCGGCATATTTTGGATTTTAAATAATATTACACTTGTCGCTACCATTCAGAGTCATATAAGCTTAGTCATTTTAGTTCTGCTAACATTCATGACCTTTTCTTCCAAAACTTTCCTGCAATCTACCAGTTTTTTCTCAGCCTTGGTTTGGGAAAGTTCACACAGCACAATATCATCTGCAAACAGTATACTCCATGGGGCCTCACACTTCTCGACGCACACCAACATGTGCAATATCGGGTCGAACAAGTAAGGACTAAAAGCCGATCCTTGATGCAAACCAATATTAACGAAGAACTCTTTTGTAGTGCCCACACTACTCTTAACTTGGGTCTCCACTCCCTTGTACATTTCCTTGACCTTTTGCCTTAGTACCCTATCATACGCCTTTTCTAGATCTACAAATACCATGTGCAAATCTTTCTGCATTTTCTTGTGCCTTTCTATAGGCTGTTTTAGAGCAAAGATAGCATAAATCGTACTCCTTCCCGGCAAAAAGCAAAACTGTTCCTCTCCATTCTCCGATTCCTGCCTAATCTTTCTTTCTATAATTTTCTTCCAATCTTCATAGTATGGGACAATATCTTTATAGCTATGTAATTTCCGCAATTCTGTACATCGACTTTACCTTTAAAGATCGGCAAAAAAATGCTCTTTCTCTGTTCATCCGAGATCTTCTGCTGCCAGGGTTTCTTCATAAGGTTCCAGAGGATATCAATTCTTTCCTTTCCCAAACCTATAGAAGCCTCAACCGGAATCCGATCAGTGTTTACTACTTTCCCCATCTACGTTTTCCTAAGCACACTTCTTCTCTGCTAATATCTTGCACCACTCCTTCATTTGCCTTTCCATTCTCGTATAAAGTTCTGAAGTGTTTTTCATTCAATAAATTCCTAAAATATACTTTCCATCCTTTCTTGACCCTTTCGTACTCTTGTAATACCACTACTTTATTATCTTTAATCAGTTTAATAGAGGTAAAATCAATTGGCGTGCCGTGACAGTTGATGATAGGGAATCTGTGTTTCTGTAAGAAGCTGACTTACAGGGGTAATCAGTTAATTGCGCGTAAGGGTCCATTTATATTCGTTTGCTCGATAAGCCAGTAGAAACGCCCTTCTTTATTTTAATTAAAATGCATTTCATGGATTCCCACCTGGATTTCTTCCTCCGACAATCTTGGTGCTGTCAGTGACAAACACGGAGAGCGTTTTCAGCAAGACATCTCTATGATGGTGGGAAAGAGGTATCAGGGCCAATGGAATTCAAGAATGTTTACTGATTACTGTTGAACACTAAGAGGGATTCTGCAAATTCCAACATAGCAGAAGCTCTTCATCTCGCCATTTTAGACAAGATAAAGAAATAAGTGTATGCTTGTTGTCTAAATAAATATATTTTACATTTAAACCGATTGTCACAAAAAACCCAGACTTAATGGAGAAAAACTGTTTATATATCTGAAAACAGCATAAAAAATTCTATTATGACCAGGTATTTTCACTTGTGTGCAAAAAAAGCTTTCATTTTCTTCCCCAGTATAATCAATGCACTCTGAACCTCACATAATTTTCAAATCGGATTGATACGTGTAGCGCCATCTGTTAGCATAATAAATTACTTATCAATCGATTTCTGTTAGGTTAGGTGTTTCCTAACAGAAGAGTCTATTAGAATAAATGGCCTCAGGCGTTGGTATGAAGATAAATAAATAAATATACACAAAATGTAAAGACAAAGGCATAAATATAAGGTGTACAGCTTCATAAACATAAGCTCTCAAAAATTAATCTTTACGTTGGCTACACTATAGAGTCTTCCAAATGACACACTGTATAAATCTTAAAGAAGAAATAAAAGTCGTATTTTGTCACACGCGGACTTACAGAAATGCTTTTGTTTTATTAGTAACAAAGAAAAACGAAAAAAACAACGCAATCTTATAACGTGTAATTGCTTTTTAATTTTTTATATGTTTGCTTTAGAAGAATGCATAAAGAATGAGAGGCTGAAAGGGCAATTATTCCTCTTAGCTGTCTGCGAATATTTTTATTAAGGACAGCATCTCCAGACGACACACTCCTGGAGACAATATAGACCTGAATTTGTTAAAAGTTAAATTTTTCATCAAATATATTTATATTATTTATTTACACTAAAATAACAATCAAACGATTACATTTAATAACTTTGAATTATTAAAACTTAATTTGCATCACAGACACAATTCCAGGAGCAAACACTAATTTTTTTGCACTAATCGTTCAGCAAAAGAGTTGCAGAGAAGGCGAACTTTGACTTACATTTCGTTATTTTCTGCTGGCAATTATTAATTTTTTATATGGGTAAATTGTTTGTGTTCTATAATGTTAACATTTCTGATTTGTTTTCACTTTCCGAATTATTGTATAATAAATAAATTAATTATTACCAGTCGACAGTATGGCAACATTACATCCAAGTTCTTAACTATCAGGAGCTATCTTCTTTTCATAAAACAGCCATATTTTAAACTTTTCGTGCCTTATTTTCCTTTATAATTTAAGATAAACTTTTATATCTTAATTCTTTAATTTTTTTATTGGGGCTCAAAAATTAGTTAAACTTGTATATTAATTATAGCATTGAATGAAGTTGTTATAAACAGGATTTAAATAAGCTGTCCAGCCATCTATAAAAGTGACATATCACGGAAACTGACTTTTGGGCCACTTTAAATGCATATTAATTTAAAATATAAACTAATTTTGTTAAAAAATTATTTTCAGTGTAATTCCCCACGTCCAGTTAAGAAAAATGGAAAATGGGCTGAGAAACGTAAAAATTCTAAAGAGAAAATTGAAAAAGTAAAAGGAAAACTTTGTGGTATTTGGAAAATTTTCAAGATGCAAACCACCCTGAATGGTCCTGATTATTATTCTCGAATTTTATTTCCAACGGTATTTTTATTCTTCTCTTCCAATTATTGGTGGCATTATTTAAGTTTCCGCAGAAAAATATTAAACGATTGAAATGTTGTTTTCATTGACGTATCAATAACGATTTCAAATTGTTCTAATAAATTGTGATTCTTGAATTGCCATTCTTTATAATAATCTTTGTATTATTAGGTACAGATCGTAGGAAAAATATTTTCCAGAAGTCACCTCCCAACTATTCAGGTGATATGTTGATGATTCAATTTCTTCACGCATCTTGCAAGATCATGGGTGTCATGGCCTGACATGTCTGTGATTCTAGTCTTTAAATGAGTAAATGATGTTCATAAATGAGATTCTTTAAGTGATCCCAATTTCCAGCATTGTGTGATTCAAACAACGCGCGGACCATTCTGCAAATCCAAGTTATTCAGAAAACTGTACCTCGAAATATGTCTACATGCAAAAATTAGCCTATTTCTCGTGTCGACATTGTTTTGAAATAGAAAATCTCAATGCATTACAGTTAGCTCATGGATACCTTGTAGAAATTTTGTATTGATAAAAGCGAGGAAAAAAAGATCAATTTATAATTCGGAAGAAACCGGGTTCGAATTCCTTTCGAATCTTAATCTTTATGGCAAGTTTGGCTATTAACCATTATTTCTATTCATGCCTGCCAACTTCATGGAAAAGTCTTGATCAAATTGCACTGATATCTCGCATAAACAAAGTAAATTAATGAAAATTAGGGATAAAAATGATGTGTATAAGCTTATAAATACTGCTTTAAATTCGTACCCTTCTTTTAAATGTAAATAGTTTGCATTAGGATTGTAATCGTAACTTATGTGGTACTAGTTATTGTGATGAATGAACGTAATAGTATTGAGATATTATTGTTTTGTAAATTTGTCATTGGAGTTCTATGTAAAAATTATTATTAATTAAAATATGTACAGTATAATTTAAGATAATGTGTATAGTAATTTTTGTTGAATAATAAATTTTTAAAATAATTATATTAAAAGAGGAACAAACACATGAAAATTAATCTTTGTTACATGAAATCAATTTTATAAATTAATTTTTATATTGCACGGTTAAGTTATTAAATGTTTGTATTAAAGTATATAAAAAACGTTTTGATTTATTTATTTTGGATAAAAATTTTGTTTTTAATATTTATACTTTAATTAATTTAAGATCGAATTGGATCTACAATTATGATAATTATATTTTATTGTTATTTTGTGTGAATGTAAGCAAACTTCTTATTAAAAATATATTTTATTTACGATTTCTCGAAATACGTTTAAATAATTCGAAGTATTCGCGATAGATGGCAGGTCATTATTCTTACACTTGGATGCGTTCGTAAAGTCGAACGAGTTAAACGCGTTAGTACCAATCGGTCGGAAAGTCTAACAAAATAAGAATAACGATGACGTCATTCTCGTTTACCTCGTTCGAATTTACGAACGTACCCACAGAGTACCTGGATTATCAGAGTAGCGACACAGGAGTCTTCGTCCTCATGTTCTGTCCACTGTCATCACGTGGCCTATGGATTTATAGTAAGAAATGACGATTATTTCAGTTTAATAAAGCATTTTATTCGTTTTTTTAATCAAGAATATGACGGATGGATGAATCTCACGTGTTCGATAAGTTTTAAATCTCTAGCATTAGTATAATTAAATAAATAATTAAGTTTGTTTATTTATTAGAAAAACTTCTAGATCGAAATTCTAAACGTTATTTTAAGCCCAGTATAATATACTTTAATGCAATATCAGAAATTATACACGGAAGATACATTAAACTCTCGATAAACCGGGATAAATAAATAAAATGTTACCTTAATTAATAAATTGCGTGGATAATCCAATACAGCAATATTATTTACAGATTTCACCTAATAACTTGAAATCAACTGAAAACTTCAGCAAAGTTTGTCATTCTTTTTTCTCTTCAACTGTCCAATATTCTGCAAACCGAGAGAGCAATAGAGCGATTTTTCATGACCTGATAATTGAGAGTATACTGGAATTATTTTAGTGCCATTTCACTGTATTTCGAGAGCGGTTTTCTCTGTTCTAAAATAATTGAAAATTTCCCTTACATCTTGTGTAATACATGATGATACATAATGAACGAAATATTTTTTAATGCGAAATATACTGTTCAGAAACGGTCAATGTAAACTTTTTCTTTTCTTCGAATGCGATGTATTACGTCAAATTAGCATTAGAGACATTTAATTTCAGAATTTCATTTCATAATATTATTCAAAGAATAAAAAGTTGAAGAGAAGTCACTAAATACACTTAAGACAACTAGTTGTTCTTAAAAAGAAAAGAATTGCCTGTGAATTTCAATGCGAAGATTATTGTAACGACAGTCTCTTAGTCTGCTTGCCATCAGCAACTTATAGAGACGACTCACTTCGTTGTCTTTTATGCTTACGAGAAACGACAATTCGAGAAGAAAGATAAAATGCAAGTAAGAAAATAAAGCTATAAACTGAAAAAATGCTGTGACACAATTTGAGACAAGTTTTCTACTGGCGACACAAATAATTTACCTTAATTAATGCTTAAAATATTATGGCGCGTTAGTGGAATCTTCAAAAAACTACAAAATTGTTCTGCACAGAAGCTCTAAAAACCCGAAACCAAAACCAAAAGTTTCAATAAGCGAAATTTGAATTCAGAAAACTGCAGAAGGCGGTGTATATTCAATCTGATTAAAAACTATACAGGTATCAGAGATAGGCCTATTGGGAAGTAGACCCTAACATGATAATGTATCTTCTTTTCATAACACTACAATATTGTAAACTTATAACATTGCGATTTCAGAGACTATGTCTCGTGTCTAAAATTGCGCTGCATTTAAATTGCGAAAGGATCCGCATAATAATCAATTTAGGAATATCATTTATCATTCTTTCTGGATTCGTTCCAGCAACGTTGATGAATTATTACTACATAAAAAATATAAACATAATTCGTGTAAGGATTATAAAAATTAAAATATAAACATTATTTTAAAGAAATAATAAAGTTCTCGTTTTTACGTACAGTACGTAAAAATTCTGGCCGAATAGGAAACATTTTATTAATTTTTTTCTCTCATATATCTATCCCTTTGTACAGTACCTTCCTTTTTTTTATCCGCTTCCTCTATTATAATATGAAAAACTTAAATTAATAGATTAGTATTTCGAATTCAAATAAAGAATGTATGATCTAAATACTAGGCCTATCTTTTATTTGAAATTTAGCATCTATAGCCATCCATAAACGTTGTTTAAATACAGTGTTATGTACTCGAATCCGTTCGACCACATCAGTGTTATGTACAAATACAGTGTCTTTGTACATAACACTGATGTGGTCGAACGGATTAAATAAATTCTATTTCATTTATTTTTCGTTTTCTCGAGATCGTCACAATTGTAAGGTTAACCCTCACTGCCGCCATTGTTAGAATAAAAACCACGTGTCTACTTTGATGTCACAAAAACACTTCTCTTTATTGGAGGAATTTTGGCGTAAAAAGTAGAGACATGCTCTACTCTTTTTTCAGTTATGTTTCAGCCAAAATTTCAGAAAAATTTTTANAATTTTAATCAAGAGGACGGTGAACCGTTTTAAACCAGTCTACCCACTGTAAAGTAGGCTGAGAGATGGTGGAAATAATATCGTTTTGTTGAGGAATAGAAGATGATAATCTGTCACCGGCGGCTCTTATGGAGTGAAAAAAAAGATAAGATTTGTGGATAAAACAACGTCTTTCCTTTAATTCTAACAAAATATTGTCGTTAGTAGGGAAAATTTAATTTATGAAATATTCCTTGACCTTGCGATCGAGTCAAGGTGATTTTCCTGAAATTTTGTACAAATAAAAACATAGGTACCAATTTTTAATTTGCCATCACTGATGATTCATTTAACCTTTAAGTTTTTACTTTGCTCAAATTTGGGAGGACGGTTGTCCCCATGCTTCCTCGATTTATTAAATTATAAAATCGATTTAAAAATCTTTAAATACGTAAGTTATATATAAGTTAATCGAGTTAACATTTTACCTCTTACAAATACNAAAAGTAGAGACATGCTCTACTCTTTTTTCAGTTATGTTTCAGCCAAAATTTCAGAAAAATTTTTACGCTTTCTGTTTTATGCTAGATTTTACGCAGAATTTTACGCATGTGTGTTCCTAGCCTTACACCGATAACGCGTTTCTACTCGCATATCAGTAATTATGAATAATTTTCCTTCAAATTGACTATACACTTAAGTGTAGCTAAAAGGAAATTCCATGATGTGTTAGAATTAGAATGACATCAAGAATCATCAATCATTCGAGAATTTACTACCTGTTTATTTGTATTACCTAGAAACGGCATTTGTTCATTTTCGTAAGTTACGTTACCGGATAAATTATTATATCTTGTTTTCCCCCTTACTATATAATTATTTATATTATAAGAAAAGAAAAAAGTAGTAGAAAATTTAAATTTTTACGTATTTAAATACTTCAAAATAATAACTTTATTCTTAAACTAACTCAAAGTAATTCCATTTTTTAAGCTTGATAATCGCTTTAGATGAGATGTGGTCACGGCTTTTGCATTATGAGAAGCCAACCGGTTTTATGTTAGGTAGCATACACAGAAAGGAAAAAAAAGCATTTCTTAATACGTACAGAACTGTATAAAGTTATTCGTATAAGACATTAATTAATCGCATACTTATAAAGATTTTCATCCAGGTTTAAAGCATTTGTTTAAATCCTAAATTTTCTTATGAGCTTCCTACCAAAATCTATAAACATTTAGAATTTAAAAATCAGTAAAATAAACTTTTAAACGATGCAAAAGAAACGGATGTAGAGGATGAGATAGAGAGCAATTTTTCTTCCCTAAGATTTCTATTGCTAACCAGAACTTTATTATTTCTTTAAAATAATGTTTATATTTTAATTTTTATAATCCTTACACGAATTATGTTTATATTTTTTATGTAGTAATAATTCATCAACGTTGCTGGAACGAATCCAGAAAGAATGATAAATGATATTTCTAAATTGATTATTATGCGGATCCTTTCGCAATTTAAATGCTTATTTTCGCGCTTTAACTAATATACATAATCCACGACAAGATTTTATTATTTGATAAAGCGCTGCGAATTATTTAAGTAATTTTAAAAAGAATTCAGAGTAATGATTTTTAATTAATTTATTTATTTTTATTCCACGTTATTGTGCATTATTTAGAAGAAAACAAGCATCCAAAAACGACAAAAGCTTTACCGTTACAATTAATTAATAATTATAATACACATTTGTTAATTTCCGAACGAAATATTCCATGACTTGTTTTGTTTACGGAATATTTACAAAGCCTTAAACCAATTTTTAAGCACAAAAATGCCAATAGAAAATTGTGTAATCGTAATCTTTTTTCTACTTTTTACCCGAACGAGTCCCGTAAGCCGAGAATTTCGCTTAATTTGCTTTTTCCACGTCATTGTGTGTTAAGAACGAGCGTTTTCGTCATCGAAATAGTCGTTAACGTAGTAGTAGTCTTTGGCATCCGAACAGGGTACCGCATCTTTCGGAAAGGCGCAAGTCAGGCTCTGTTGATTGAATATTGTTTTGTCGCCACAAAAGAAACTCCATTGCTTAATGTCGATGATGTCGTCGGCGATTCCGTCGGCGGTTCTTATAGGGTAGCAGACGTGAAAGATTTTGCAGTCGCTGTCAATATCAGCGTAAAACCCGTATTTGCGTCCTTCACAAGTGAATGAAGTTCGAATATTACCTATTAACTCTTGCGCTCCGTGTGGTAATTCGTAAGCTTCTCGCCTGACCTTAAATATGGAAAAATTTGTTTAGTTTTCACTGCAAAACGTCAATGTTTAGAGTGAATGCCTAACAAAAGAATATAATTGTAAATTTAATAGAAATAAATGAGTTAAAACTTACTCTGGGTAGAGAAGCGACAAGACTCGTACATATTAAAGCTAAAAATATTATTAAAATTTTATTAATTACATATTTTTCATTAAAAAAAAGAAAAGAAAAAGAAGATTAAAAACTTACCTAGAACGGCAAAATATTTCATGTCGAGCTTGTGTTTCTGGCACCGAAAGTATCTAAAAAGTTTAAAATCTAGTCAATACAATGAAGGAATGATTAAATTGTAAAACGAAAGAGAATATAAAGAAAAATATATTATTAAGTAAAAACGAAACAAATACTTTTCTATCACTAATTCAAGGTTAGATTCAGTTGATTGCACAGACGTAAATCCAACGGGAAACTATCCATTCAAGGCTCTTTTCTCAGTAAATTGTAAAGTAAACGTATAAGGAACGACTTACCTGTATAAGTAAGGTTCTCGGTTTGTACTGAAGCTGAGACGAGCCTTATATACCAGAAATATCTGCGCATGAGCAAAACTAGACCTCATCCCATAAAGTGTGTCACTAGTGAGCTTGATGATGGAAGGTTGTTACGAGACCTAAATACCTATCAGCATTTTGGTGACAATATTACGATTATTTTCAATGCATATACAATCAGGTTAATTTCGATCAATGTAAATGATCGGTTGCGAACAAGGAAAATTTCATAAACTACTCTTGTATTTTATTTATTATTATTTTTTCCTTATTTCCTATAATACATTAAAGAAAAATTATTAAATTTATACTAGGCAATCGAAAGTTTCTATAAAGTTAACTTTAAAGTCTTTTCCTTTGTATTTTATCTGTGGAAATAGTTTTATTGGTGTTATATTTAAGCTTATTTTAATACTTTTGATCGCCTGGAGAACGGATTTATTTAATGTATAATTGTAAATCGGAGAGCAAAAAAAAAATTGAGAATAATCTCAGATGCAAATAATTAAACGATTTCATAGTTTAATCAAAGTATTGTGAGTGGAAAAAGTTATATTCGCGAGTTATATAGACCTAAATGTCAAACTGTATAACATTACCGGATTAAATGAGTAAAAAATAAAGAAATAAATGACTGCCGTTCTGCTATTGTTGCTATGCTGATAAATCAATGGGAAAATATATAGTCATAAAATGTTTCCCACAAACATTTATCCATTTTCTTTATTATAAACTAGCTTAAACGTCGCGCATTGCTACGATCTCAGAAAAAAGGAAATTTAAGCAAACTCGTTATGATAAAATTCAATTTACATTTTATCATTTTTATTGAAACTTATTATTATTATCCATTTTCATCGGTAAAACATGTTACCGCTAAAGCTCGGAAACTCGTTAATCTGCAGATTACCTAGCTAATCTGCACATTAACTAGGGTGATCCGTTAAAGTTGCTAAAATTGTTCTATTTCTCAAATTACCTAGGTAATGTGCACAGTATCTAGGTAATCTGCACATTACCTACTAGGCACTCGGTAAAGTGAAAATAAAACTTTTGCTGGAACAACAGCAACGTTTCTGTACGCTTAAATTAACATAATGTTCTTTATTTAATTTTCAATATCTAAGGAATCACGTTAATACAATCAAACAATCGACAAATTAGTTGATTAAATCAATCATCGATCAATTAAAAAAAAAAACTTTAATACAAAAATCAAACGGTCTAAAATATTATTACTATTAGGGTAATGAATTTGCAAAACATATGATAAAATTGTACTTACTTATTAGTGCAATTTAAAGATTGGTGACACTTTGAATTACGTAGCAATTGGTTTTTGCGACAAGCACGCCTATTTGTGGTACATTTAGATTTGCAGTCACATTTTCTGAAACCCTGCCCAGTACCAAGGGATTGTTTTATTGCTGTTTGACGTAAAGATATTTCTATAGCAGGAACATCCGTCTTCTTTCGTTAAAAATCTCTCTTTGCAAAACTGAATTCAGATTTTGCATACAATTGTTTTAAAATACCTGTTTTAGTATCAAGTTTATAAAAGCAATCCTCTGTTTTACTAAGAACCACAGCTAAAATT